TTGTATGTTCAGAATCTTAGACGTCCTCTCCATGGAATCATGCCCTCATCCAATGACAACTGTTGCTTTGATCTGTATAGTGTCCTGAATTTATTGAGGAAATAATCCAGTTCTGGTTGAATTTTGAAGAGCCTGCCTGAAGACTCATTTATTTTCTGATTATCACTGAATTGCCAAAATGTCCAAATTTGTTCAAATCTGTTGTGGCTCATTGTCATTGGGCTAATCAAAAGAGGATCTGTTGACCAATAATCTTGCCAGTTTTATTTCCTTGTCTGTCCCATTAGTAGAATAAGGCCTAGGAATTTCCTCATGTCTGTAGGTGTAACTTCAGACCATTGAAGTCCTTTAAATGACATTTTGTTTCTCTGCAGTTTGATTATAGTAGGTACACATTTCCTGACAAAACATTTCAAACTAGTCATCACCAAACATCAGACTTGTCACAGCAGCAATACTTTCAGGTTTGGATGGAGTTATAGTGGCCCTTGGATTTCCTTCATACATTTCCAAGTTTGGTGGAGTATCTATTTCTGACCAATTATCATTACCACAACAGGAACATTTGTAGAATCATCATTTTCTGATTCAAAATCAGTTGAGAGCACAACAACTTTACTTATCTTTGTAGGTCTAATAGCATCACTGAAGCTAGAGTCACTGTCAGAATGATCCACAAACACATCCACATCAGAATCTTCACCTTCAAATAGTTCAGTAATTATCTCATATTCACGCAACATGTTACATTTTCTGCGAGAAGTTATTTATAAGAATATTGGTATAGTAAGCAAAAATCAGAAAAATAATAACCGTATGGAACAAAATAAATCGTGTCCAACTCCTTTCGAACTCAATGTTTTAATAAATGGTATATAAAGATGCTCTACACGAAACATGAGTAAACTTGTGACTTGTCCGCAATGTGTTAAGTGATGCCATGCACCAGTTTTAAAATAACCATTTAAAAATTGTATTTTAAAATTAGCTCTTTCTGTTGGTTATAAACATGTATATCAAATAAATACATGTGGCTTATAAACCTCAAGTTTAAGTATAGAAGGTGGGCATGGGGAATGAGAGTATGTATTTCTTGTGTTCTTCTGAATTGAACCAAATGAATCTGAAACTTGGATGGGTAAATAGTGCTGTAGGAATACAATTCAGTCCAAATGTACACATACACTGTACGTGTGCTATTAATTCAAGTAATAAAGACAAAAAGTTAAGATCTGTGAATGCTTGTGCATCACATGGCAACACAACTACAGTTTAAGTATTTTTTTAAAAGTTTCTTTTAAAATAAAACGTAGATAATATAAAACTTTGAATTATACATGATAATGCTAATATCATTATAATACATTGATAGTAAAGTGGTTTAATTATATTTTGAATGTAGCTCAGTAAAACCTCGTTACTCGCACAGAAAGGAGTTTAAAGGGTGAGTGGTAGTCAAAGGGTTAATGTTTAGAAACTGAGTGTCCCCACAAAAAATTGGGAGTACTGATGAAGAAAAGGCCTAATCTTTGAAAGTGCTCAGTTATAGTTTTTGTTTCCACTTTTGTCTTTAGTTGAATTTTTTAACCAACACATATTCCTAAGATCATAAATAAAGTTCACAATAATGCTAGAACTAACACAGGTAATCATGCAATTTGTATTAAAGATGATAAACTTTTCACTGTAAGGTCATTTACTATGGAATACTAAGTATTACTGTAGCAAGTTTAGTTGGTATTAAAATAGTATATTTAACTTTGACTGAATTTTAGATTTTTATTTCTTTCAGTCTGACATGGCACTATAGATTAATCATGTTGTTAATTCCTAATGTAAAACATTAAAACAGCTACTCACAGTTCTTCAGAATTTTTAATTGAAATTTTTCATTTTAACACTAAACTTCTTTAATCTCATTTATTATTAAACAGTGAAACTGAACCTTCTACAAATCAAACAAACACAGAGAGACTAAAAAATTTATCAGTGGCAAAAACCTCAACTTTCAAAATGGAATCCCCGTTACATTTATTAGGGGTCATAGAATATTTTGACAATATTTTTTGTGAAGATAAATTTAACATTGTATTCAATATCATAAAAAAGGGATTTGTGTAGTCTGACATGATGCCATCATACACACTAATATCGCTTGTTGAAAATATCTTTTCATAGAAGAATATTTCAGCAAATACAATATCACACAAAAACATTAGGTAAAAAAGATAATCACCAGAAAATACCAAGAAACAATCTGGCTTCTGAATGTTATGAAAGTTTTTAAATTGTGTCTTCAAGTTGTTTCATTACTGTTGATTACCAAACTGGTGAAACAATGCTTTCTAATCTTTATAAGTAGAAACATAAGAAGGATGGATTTCATTAGATATTCTGATTGTCAGGTTGATTTTTAGTTTTCCTTTTGTCAGAAGTTAATATTAATTACAGTTGACAGTACTAACTTCCAACTCTTCGATTAATTATAACACAATACTAATGTATTCTCAACTGAAAAGCGTTAAAAGTCAGAAAATCTTTGTGAACAAACAGAAGGTGTAGAAACAAAGCAAACATCACTAACAGGAAATACTGAAATTTGACTGAGAGAAATAAATATGAGCATAGGAATGAGCATAAAAAATCCACAAATACGAGGTTTATAGTTCGCATGCCAAGATATATGACAGAAATGTAGGTGTGAATAATTTCAACATTATATTATTCATGAAAAGTTTGTGTAAAGAAATTCTTGAAATAGAGTCATATGTTTTTTATTAAATTTATAAGGTTTAGTGGTGAGTAACTCGAGTGACCCTTTGGACCAGAAACAGTTAAGCAAAATTATGTTATTGGTATAAAGAAATACCCTTTTTTTTCTGCATATACTATTGCAGCTAATTTTAGAGCAACTATTGGTACAATTTCGATGACGAGAAACCCACTTTGAGACTAATAATGCTTGGAGACGGCTTGAATGGGTAATAAAGAAAAACTTTAATATAAGTTTAACATAACAGCAAATGTACAACATTTCAACAAGGTCTTGTCATCATCAGGTAGAAGTAGTTTACACTGACACTGATGATGACAAAACGTTGTACATTTGTTGTTATGTTAAACTTATATTAAAGTTTTTGTTCATTACCAATTCAAGCCATCTCCAATTGGTACAATGGATAACAGGAGCAAATGCAGTTTGACTTATTTTTCATATGCAAATGTAATATGGCATTTATATACCTTGAATAGATCCCCCCTGAAAAAGATATGAAAAAGGTCTAATTTCTATGCATCCATAAGACCCAAGCATATTCACTTTTATATGTCCTGACCAAACATTTTAAGTATTTTATACACAAATTTACATGAATGGGCATGCTACACTCATTCTATTATATTGTTGCTGTTTAGATTTCTTTCTCTTTTTGTATTAATGAATTTTAGGCAGCAGCTGATGAAGAACTTCAATTAGAAATGTTATTATTTTGAGGTGTTTATGCTGATGACAGAATTAGGAAAATTCCAAAATGTCCATGTTTTTTTATCCTATCAACAACTTAATGATTTTAGATTTCTGTCAAACAAGTCTTGAGATTATCTTACACTAACAATATCATTCCAAGAATAGACACCTGTTTCCTTGCAGATACATAGTTCAAATGATCGATACTGCCCAGTGTTGTCAAGACAGCAATTTTCAGTTTACGAGTCACATTTGATATAGATAATTTTTTGTAAAACTGAGATAAATATAGTGGCTTATTGTCAATAAAAATGGGTGTGTGTGTGTGTTTGGGAGAAATGGGGGTAGACTGCCAAGGGCTTTTGCTTAAAGTTTAGTTATCAATGGATCACAACATTGTAAGCTAAATTATCATGCATTGTATTAGTTATACTTGTGTATAAAATTACTGTAAGCTAACCACCAATGTATTGTTTTAATTTTACTCATTCATATATCACAACACTTGAACTTACCATGCATTGCATGCTTCTCATTTGACATCAGAACAGATAATGACCAAAACGCATCCTGTAAACCAGTGAGAAAGAATTATTATTCATTAATGTGGAAAATTTGTCAAACTGTTTTATAAATCTGAATATCTATTTATAAATTAATTGCAGATAAAATGTGTGCAAACCAGAGTAGAAATAGTTCTGTGCCTAATATTAAAACCTATTAAAATGTTTCTTTGATGTAATTGTAATTTAAAAATATTTAAGCTTTATCACAATTTTACATCTGTATTTTCAAGATTACTACTAGTGATATAAAAATAATTCCAGCATTATGCAGAAGTGAAACATAAGTTTATAAATTTTAATTAAAATATATATACTGTGTTATAATCAAATATATGTTTTTAATTAAGTATGCCCACAACTGGTATTATGCCTATTCAAACATCACAGTTAATTTGGCAGAGCAATGACTTGACGGGGCATATGCATGCAGTTGTGTTTTGTTTTTCCAAAAAATTACAAACTGTGCATTGGAGTAAGTTTTGTCATATAAAAGGTACACTTTCATGTGCTAAGAAATGCATGTGCAAAATTTCTGTGTTCACTATTTAATATTTTGGTAGCTAAAGTTTAGACATATATATACAGAGGGAACAAAATGCAAGTTTCGAAGACAGCCAATACACATCATATGTTAAACATCAATATGATAAGTTCAATGTCACAGTTGAATAAAAATACTGAATATTGCACATACAAAAGATTGCAGTTGGACCAAAAAATGATACAATATTTTGAGGTTTTAAAAATTCTAATTAAAATGAAATCATGTTCCAGATATTATCTTTGTGTACAATATCATTTACACACATCTAACAAACACAGATGTATTAATTACACTACTTTGTTAACCCAAACATTAAAATGAAATATAATGCAAATGTGTTTTATTCATGTGATAATTTGATTAAAAAACATCTTTCCTTTCTATGTAGTAAACAAAAGTTTTATCTATATAATGCATTTTTACCAATGAACTTATAAATATTTTTATACAAATTTCCTTTTCTTTTTAATTACCTATTATTAATAGTAAATAACTCATAAGGTTATCACTACCTCCATTTAACACAAATAACTTCCATAGATTTTTTTACATTTGTGACCTTCATCTTACTTTCTACATATTGAATTTCACATATTTCTTTCCACATATAATTATTACAATTTATATGTATTTATGGTAAGACTGTGGTGAGTGGATATCAATCAGCTATGGTTAGTAGCCTATGTGATAATCTATGTCTACTTATTAATTACTAATGCATCTTGCTTATTTTATTTATTATTATTTTATATAACTCAATACTAATAATTAATTTTTTTTAATCTTATGTCTTGGTTCCTCATCTGTTCTGACTTAATGCTGTTTATATATCCTCTGTATATCAGAGACCCTTGATATAAAGGGATACGTACCCAAAACACTTAAGAAAGAATAAAATAAAGATATACATCAACAACAAGTAGGAAGATTACAGACATAAATTCATAGTCTCTATGTCAGAGGTTTTTCTGAAGACATACCCAGACTAAATAAAGAGTATATGCCACAACATAATATGATCAAAGTTAGTACAAACTAAACCAATTAAAGACCCACTGAACAGCACAAACACTATTTACAAAATCCCCTGTAAATTCCAGAAACAAAACCAACAAATGTTTGAATTTGGAATAGTTCATCATGACAGAGAGGAAGACCATAAAATAAATTGGAATGATTAATAGGATACGAATTACAGATAAGAGAAAGAATGATAATTAGGTAAAAGAATGTGATCAATATACCTATAAGTACAACTGATATCCAGAGCTTTATTATAGCCTTTCTTACTATGATTTGTTATGTATGAAAATTCAAGTTTGAATAAATATAAAGCTAGAACTAGTGAATTGAAACTACCTCCCATAGATATTTCTTGTACTTTCTGGAAAACATGGTGGCCAAATTACACAAATGTGTTGTCAATCCAATATTTGTTTAACGTGAACAAATGCTATTTTTTACGAGTAACATTCATGGAAACATCTGTTATAATTCAGAAGCATAATAAACATAAAAAAAACTCTTTAATGCCAGTACAACTGCAAGAAGGTCAGCATCTTGAAGAAGCCCATACATTAAAATAGAATAGTAAGAAAATAATCACATATGAACATAAAACAAAAAGTGGGATAAAAAGAAGCCTTGTATATCCAGCTAACTGATAACACACTTAGACATCCCATGATGGAAGTCAACAAAACCTGGAAACATTAAAATAGTAAGTTGATTCAAGTACTAATGGGGGAGACCACAGCTGAGCAGATAAAACAACAGAATTTCTATAGAAAATAACTAGGAACAAAACTCAGCCATTACCATCACACAAATAGTCTTTCTCAGGACTTCCCTGAAGATGGCAGCAAATTAGCAACCAAAACATTGGGAAAACTAATTACTAAATAAATAAAACTTTAGTTACTAATTAATAATTGTAATAATTAATATTTTCTTCCCTACCACATTTTTCAACCTTCTGTATCCACTGGTACTAAAAACTGTGGAATGTGTGTGATAGCAACATATTTATAAAAAACAAAAAGGAGATAAATAGTTCTACAAAAAAGTTATAATTCATGTTATGTTTTCAGTTTTCACTCACCTCCTCATTCATATACATTAATAAGAGTGCAGCAATCTGACTCATTCCCTGACAGTATCCTACTTCCTGAAACCATCACATAAACCACAGTCATTACTTAAGATCCATGTAAGAAAAAACACTACTTATTATATTCTGACTTGAATATTATTTTTTTATCTTTATAGATCAAGCAGGTGTCATACATATAGTAGTCCTTGACAGAGATGGACAGCAAAACATAATTTTTCTGTAAAGCTAAACCCTGCCTCAACTTTTAAAAATGTCACAGGTACTCTTGGAGTGAATAAAAATATATAAAAACTCATATGTTTAAAGATTATTAAAAATATTGTGACTTCTTTAAAACAGTTTTGAAACTGTTCTAAAAGAGCTAGTTTCAGTTAATATAAATTACAGAAAATAAATACTATATGCCAAAACGAAAACATTTATTTTAACTGCTTTATTTCCTTTTACACTTTCTTACTGTGCTATTCAATGAGCATCTGGTTAGTATAACACTGTTTAGAGAGTAACTTTTGGGACACAGATATACTTAGTGTTGAAAATCAAAGCACAATAATACTTACAGTATTATATATGGAGTAAGCTGTGAGAACTTGAAACAGAGCTTTCTGTCTTTAGAAACAAGAAAAAACAAGGTATAAACACACAAGCTGTAAAACATAATAAATAAAGACCAAAAGATTTGAATCACAATTAATTATCACAAAAAAGTGGTTCACACTAGGGTATCCCACAAATAGCACTGATTACTTCATTCTTCCCATTTCCTTTATTATATTTATCATTAAAAATCCAGTGACAGAATACATCTGCATTACTGCATATAATTTTTCATAGAACAAAGTTATATGTCATGTACATATACTGAGCATTAATTGCACTTTAAAAATTTATTCATGTACATTCTACATCCTTTGATGCCAGTTGAACAGCTTCCTCCACTGTGAATTGTGCTGTCTTATAGCCAAGATTACATACTATTGTGTGACATCACAATTTCTATTGTAACAAGCTACTGTGAAGTATAGTAAGGTCCATCATAAACCACACCGTAACAGATTTTCCACAAACCCTCCAATGAATGTAGATGACAACTTCTGGGATCACATTTAAGTAGACTAAAGAAAGAAAAACCCACTGAAATTGCAATGAGGAACTTAGATAATTACAATACAATGTTAATAATGCCTAACCAATTAGAAACTCACACTTCACATACTGACAAGCTAGAATACAAAATAAGAAACTCTCAACTTCTCAATTTACTGAGATATATATATATATATTTAGCAAACTAAAATTGTTGCTCTGATCAGTAATAAATTTTTCTTAATCTATTTATACCTTAGTTAGAAAGCCAGATAAGTTATAGTTTTTAATGTTCCATTCTAGTGTTCACCTTAATATTAGAGAATCAATAAGGCTTAGCGATTACATCTCTCAAGCACTTGAATGATGTCTCTAGAGAATCTGGAATCAATGTTATACTGTTTGTGTAGAAAAAATATACAGATAAGAACACTTACTTTCATTTCAGTTTTCATATTTAATTTGCCTAACCTCTAAAATCTTCTAGATGACTATCAAAAGTTTTTTTTTAAACTAACATTAAAAAAAAACAAAAAAACTTTTTATATTCATTTAGAAGATTCTAGAGGTTAGACAAATTAAATATGAAAACTTTGAAACGAAAGTAAGTGATTTTATTCCTACCATGAGATTTACCTTTCAGACAGACTGACTTAGTAAATTCTCAGGTGAATCTTTGGTAAAAACACTATTTAGTGATTTTTTGTGTATAATATACTTTCCACATATACTACAAGATTGCCAAATTTTGTGAAGATATGCATAGGAATTATAGTAATCTTTAATTCTCCAGTACAAGGTTGATACATTGGGCTGTCCACATAGAGTTAAGCTAGCAGTGCAAAACAGTTTCTATAAAGTATAATAATAAAAATTATGAAGTAATGATATTTAATGTATTAAATAGTATAACAAATACCAATAATGAAAGTAACAATAAATAAATAATATAGTATACCTTATTTAGGGGACACAGAAACAATAGCTATTGGCTTAAACAACCATTGTAGAAAAACATAACTTTAGCATAATATACCTGATTTTTATCTAATTCTCCCTAACATGTCATTTGACCAATGAAAATTCATTAAACCACTCCTACTGTCTCACATCAGAGGACATCTGACAGTTACTGTTTAAACTGTGTTGTGGTAATAACAGTATTTTTCCTATAATACAACCTAAAACTAATTTCTCTGAAGATACAAGAAAGAAATAAGAAAACAGAACTGCACCATCCTAAACATAGCAAGTGGAGTGGCTAACACAACCAGTCTTATTTTAACTAACCTCTAACACTTAACAAACACAGAGCTGGCTATGGGAAGTAATAAATAATGCTAAATCATCTGCAAAAGCTGAAAAGTAAACATGATAGGCTTTTAGAAAACTCACTTAGAAAGATACAACACCTATTAAACATCAAAAGAAAGTAAAATTTTGTTTTACATTTCTTTTTAACAATCTCACTACTTGAATATCCTTCTTTGGAAAGGGTTGTGATATTTCTCTCTAACCACAAGCCCATCTCTAATGGTAGTGCACTACCAAATGGTCAAGAAGTTGTTGTGAATGAAGTATAGAAGTGATAAATATTCACTCAAAATAGAGAAAATTCACACCTACAGCAACATGTCACTGCATTAACATTTACAAATTGTTCTTATTTAAGTGTCATAAACCTCTATTTCTTGTAAAACATAGCTGGATAAACAGAGAAAACTGTACATATATATGACAGGTTTGGGTAGATAGTAGATAGATAATTTATAATAAAGAAGCAATGGGTAGGCTAGTAAAGAATAGATAAAAAGACAAAGATAGATGAATAGAAAAGACACAGGCACACAAAAAAGAAAATTGGCAGATAAAGCAAATATGAGTAGTCAGATGTGAAATAGATGAGTAGACAGATTAGCAAGAAATTTATGGAGATGTCAAACAAATAAATACAGAAATAATTATATATGGATTTATACAGACAGGTATGAAGTACACTTACTTACTACCATAACGTTCCCGGAACATTATGTGATTTCTGTATGTACGATTGACATCCAAGTCTATTTGTCGAATATCCGGTGACCATTTTCTAGCACGTCGTTGCATTTCCTATAACACATACAAACAAACAAGTTTTATTATATGAACAATAATTTGAAAACAATTACTAATAACTTTATTAAAAGTATCAAGTTTTCTAAATTTTGAAAAATATATTTTTGAAACAAACTAAAAACTACCTAAGAATAGAAATAATGACACATTCAAATCTTCTCACTGTGTAGCTATTCGTTCAAACTAGCATACATAATAGTACTCAGTTCGATAGAATCATACAAAAACTATCAAGCATATGAATGAAATTACTGCATTATAGAACAAATGATAAAAAAAAACAAAGAGCTAGATGTTTCTTCACATTTTCTTACATCAGTAATCTGTTACTTATAGTACTTTAAAAAGTGCTCCATCCTTAACATGAACTTTTGCACCTTCTCTAAGTATCAATAAACAAATATTGCAGAACATACTATTAAGAATGACATTAACTCTTTCAGCATGGGCTCGGAACAGACCTCGTAACCATTTTGTACTTGTTATAGTTTTTATGCTATAACTTTTAAATTAGTAAGCGTACATTCACGAAATTTGGCAGATTATCAGTAAACATTACAAGGCTTTCATACGCAAAATATAAATTTTTTTTTATATCAAGTCTTAAGGTTTGTTAAGCAATGTTTTTCTCCTACCTTTTTTCTTTTCCCATGTTGCCTATCTAACATGCAAAATAATTTTCATTTTAAGATTAAAAATACTTTTGTGAATCAAAAATTTCAAATTTCACATGTGAAAACTTTATAACAATATATAATTATGTTACATAGTGAGTTTTATTTAGTTATAATTCACAAACTTATCAAAATAAATCAAACATATTTCAAAATGTCTAATGGTTATTGTGATGTATGAATGAAATGCCTGTCTGTTCAGATTTAGAGACTTATCAATTTTTATTAATGAAAGGTCAAACACTGTACAGTGGCAGTGAAAGGGTTAAGCTTCACTGTAAATTTCTTCCCTTTACAGTTTTATCCATATAATTTTATTTTTCAACAGAAATCTATAATAAGAAACAAATGTTATCAGACAAAGAAGTTGACACAAATTAGTTTTTTACCTGGTACTTTCCTTCCTGCTCCTGCTTCACACGGTGGATGTCTAAAAGTCTAGCCCACACTTCGCCCCTTACTGCATTTGGAATCCCTTTGTAAACTCTTCGTTTGAGCTTCGAGAAAGTGGAGTACTTTAGTTACTTTCTGACCAATGATATTGTACTGATAGAAATAAATATGGGAAAATAATTTTACACATCCTATTTTTACATATCAGACTATTTTCACGACTGAACTTATAATCCTATAAAGCTACCTTCTAAATATTCTTGTCACAGGAGCAATCACTATGACTAACAGAGGAAAGTGCAGTTTACATATCAAACTGCTGAAATACAACACGTTTTTTAAAACAGATTCATGTTCAAAGAACAACATACTTATAGATTATTATCAATACATTTACTTACATTCCAAACTTACCTTTCTGCTTCACACAGAGTTTATGAGAACAATTCCATCATGATAGTCATCAAATTCAACAACATAATATTTGAATGACAAATGACATTTCTTTAGTTATATTAACCAGTTAGCTTGAAATATAGAATAGCCACTTTCTTAAATTATCATATTACTTAATCATACAAAAAAATTGGTAAAACAATATAAGTGACACTGATGGTCAGAGTAGGCCGAGTACATTTTTAGAACCCGAAAATACAAGGGCTTACAAATATCTAGTATAACCTCTTTTATCTCTCATGCATTATTAGCAGAGCTGAGATAGACAACATATAGATTTAAAATTCAGCTCTTGGATGGAGAAACAGAGATTTGGTTTTGGGAAACTAGTCACATCATTAATTATTAACTTCAAGTCCAATTTTAAGTTATTTACTAAGAAAACCAAAAAACAGTACAAAAAGACCAGAATGATGTTAATGAAAACAAATAATACTGTTAAGGCTAATATGAGATTCAAAGAAATATTAAAATCAATCACATTTTCCTGTAATGTTAATGGAAAAAACTGAAAAAATAGGCAACTTCAAAACAGGTGCAAAAGTAAATTGCTATATAAACTTTTTTTGTTCTTTCACACTAAATACTGGTTATTTATCAATAAAACATAATTATGTATAAATATTCAGAATTTTTCTGTGACATGAAATGTTTCATAATTAAGACATGGTAAATAATAAGATTCTAGACTAGTTGCAGGTTTATGCACATAATATTAATTATCGCTTCAAATTAATAGTAATGATTTTACCTAAAAGCATTTTTTTTAGCTCACATTTCCATTACTTTAGCAAGTAATATGCCTATAAGCAGCACATCTTGTGGTTAAATCTTTTAAAAAGTTATGTAACACTATCTATATGTGCTCTGATTTGAATATCCATACATATTAGTGACTTTTTTTTATTAAAAAGATTAATATGTATTTTTTTTACTGTGTTGAAAAGAACATAATATAAGAGCTTACTTTGTCACGATTTGAGTACTTTTCCCATGACTTAAGCATCTTCATCCACTTGTTTAACCTTTCATTCTCCATTTCTCTGACCTGTAAATGCAATATAACTATAAACTGTTCTAATACAGGATCTATTCTCCTGTGGCATGCTTAAATCAGAAAATTTATTTCAAGAATACAAGCTTCCGCTCTGAAAATTAAATTGTAGTTTATTACAATGCTGAGTATTTCTTTTTAAATTTATTTAGGCAAAGTCAAAGCACCTGAAATGTATATACAAATGTCTCCTATGATGTCATGCAGATCTATACAACCTGATGTAAAATACTACAGCATAATTTCATACAGCTGATTAATAAGATGCTAAGACAATAAAAGTGGTGAAAAAAACAAAGACTTCTATTAAACCAAATATATCCCTTAGGAGATGGAAGTTTTGTAAACTACCTTTAGGTACTATTATCTGGTTTTTAAATACATCAACAATCAGCCAAGACATTTGTTAATTCATAAAGCTTAATCAAGAATTATTGGCCATGACTAAAACTCTTTAACTTTGAGAGAATCATGAGAGTGATTACATACTTATTACTTCTTTGAATATGAAGCTGAATGCACAGCACCCAGTACATAACCACCAAAGTAACCATGAGAATAGTCATACTATAACTTCTCAGGCTGTCAGTAAATATCACACGACTTTCGTACAAAAAATATCAGGTTTATTAAATTAAGTATTAAGGTATTTTAATTCAAGATTTGCTAGTGAATTTTTTTCTTTCAGAATGTTGACTATCCAACATGCAAAGTAACTATGATTTTAAGATTAAAAATACTTTTATCTGAAAATTGTCAATTTTTATTTGCATAATCTCCATAACCACCTAGATAACTGTCAAACTTTTTCCGGGAAAACTTTACATTTTATCTGTTATTTTCTCTACTTTAACTCCATATGGGGTTGGTTGATTTGACTGACCTTGCAACCATCATAAAGAATTAGGAAATAAATCAAAATCACCTCTTTTTTCATTCTAGAATGATTGCAAATTGTGATAGGAAACAACATATTTTTATTCTAAATAGTTTAAATCTTGTAACAATAAACACCTATTTATATTTATTAATTTTTTTTGTATTATTTACCTTTGAACTATATCCAACTAATTCTACCACCACACGAGTTGTAAGTCATGCAGCACATGAGAAGCTCACATAACTGTATTGAAAGCATACAAACGGATTTACAAAGTACAAATGTCTTACTCTTCTTAGTCTTAGTACTAGCATACCATTTTTTGTAAAATACAATCACATTTCGGTTACTGTAGGTTACGTGTGTGTGTGTATATACACAACTCCACTGAACAACTCAAAGTCTACTATAAAAACCAATTCTCCACTGCATACAAGACAGACGAACGGATTCTAAAGGATATCGTTTACAAAAATACCACACCAAAGAAACAGAACACAAAACTGCAACTCAACATCTACTACAAGTCTACCACAACGTCGGACTTTATCGTGAAAAACAGCCCTGCTAAAAAGACAACAGATCTACAGCAAGTGAACGTCATTTACGAGTACAAGTGTAATAAAGGAGACTGCGAGCTCCTGGCAAATGCCTCCTACATCGGAATGACTACCACAACCCTGTCATGACGCCTAACGATGCAACTACAAAATGGAGCCATCAAAGAACATT